ATCTCTCCAGTAACAATTCTCAGAGAATTCAGAGTTAGTGAAAAACACAAGGTTGACTTAAAAAAGGCATTTCAGCCCATGTTTACGGCATTCTAGGACACGGTGCGTGAGGCTTCAGTAACCAGGGGCAGTCAGAGCCCTTCCGCCAAATGCCGGGGGTTCGCCCCGCCGCAGGGTTGGGGAGCCACGGCGGGGGAGTGAGTTCTGCCGGGGCCAGCGGGAGCCGCCGGGCAAAGCCGAGCCCCAGGAGCGGGAAAAGCCCCGGCGGCAGCGAGGGAAAAGCCGAGCTGGGACCTGCACGGGGTGAGGCGGGGCAGCCTCCGGATTTTCCAATGCGCTCAACAGAGCCAAAGGGTTCAGGTCCCCAAATCCGGGCCGGTAGCGACGGGCAGCGGCAGAAAGCTGAAGGGCCCGATCCCGGAGAAGGCAGCGGGGAGCGCTGGGGAGAGGGGCCGGGGCAGGGTTGGGGAGCGAAACGGGCGCGCCACGCTTGGTTGCGTTCCGCATTTGATTGATGAAATCGCCTCAACTCTGCGGCGGCACCGGCTGTGCCCACTGCGTCTGGCCGGGATGGGAGCGGAGGCGGCGGCACCCGGAGCGCGGCGAGGCGATGGCGGAGCCCGGAGGCGGCTCCAGCCCAGGTGGGAGCCGCGGTCGGTGCTGCCCCAGCTCGGGGCTCGCTGCGGGCGGAGGGGCCGCGCTGAGGGCCGGGGGTTCTGGCGAGTTCCTGGGGGCGGCTTCCCCCGTGTCCCCCCTGCGCTGGGATCGCCGAGGGAGCGACTGCCCGCGCTCTCCTCCTTGCCCGGATGGCCGGCATGGAGCCGGTGCCGCGGCAGCGCTGGCTCATCCCGGCTGCTCTCGCTGGCACGGAGGCGGCTGCTCCGTGCCCGGCACCGTTCCCGCCCCGGCACCGGGCTCGGGGCCGCTGCTCGGGGGGGAGGTGTCCGTGCCCGGCTCGGAGCTGGCACGGGATGAACTTGAACGGGCCTCAGAGCCCAAAGCGCTGCAGGCGCCGAGTGCGGGCACAAAGCGCCGCATCCTGCCTGCTCCGGGGCCGAGGCGGCTCGGCGCTGCCCTCGGTACCGGGACCCGCTCCGTGTCCACAGGCAGGGAGCCGCAGCGGCCGTGCCGGCGCTCGGTGTGCCCGGGCTCCAAGGCGCCGGGGCAGGGAATGCGGGGCACAATGGTGAGCAGCCCGGGGCTGCTGCTTCTTGCCCCTCGGCAGGACCGGGCTCCGAGCCGCAGCTGCCCCGGGCCAGCAGCAGGCGGCAGCTCGCAGGCGCTGTCAGCGCCTGGCCCGGCACGGAGCTGGGCTGCAGCGGCTGCAGAACCACAGGGGCCGGGGCTGCGGGCACCGAGAGCTCCCGGAGGCTGCGCTTGTCTCCGCAGCTGCTGCCGCACCTCTGGGCAGCGGGGACAGCGCAGCCACAGCTGCCACCGCCCTCCTGAGCCCCCAGCGCCGGCACCAGCAGTGACCTCTCACCGTGTCCCTTTCAGGCTGCCATCAGCGTGGCTGTGAAGCTGTTCCCGAGGCCGAGCTCCCAAAGGATCTGCCAGCAGCACTCCTGATGTCAGGAGAGCAAGGTGCTGTTTGTTCCAGGCAGAGAGATGCCGGCTGTGAGCAGGAGGAGAATGAACTCTGCTCCATTCCTGGAGCTGCAAACAAGCCCCTGAAGAACAGATCAGCAACAGGAAATGCACTCAGAAGATTTTTGTGTGAGTGCAGGGCCACCCCTGTGGTCTCTAGGGTGGGGACAGTGTCCCCTCCCAAGGACAGGGCTGGCAGGTGTGTGGCTGTTTCCCGATGTCTGGAAGAGGCCTGGTGCTCTGCTGGGCCCCATCAGTGGCTGGAAGCAAGAGCCCCAGCTGCCCCCAAGGCTGTGCAGTTCTCCTGCTGCAGCCTGTGGCCACAGCTGTGTCCCTGCCTGTGGCCACAGCTGTGTCCCTGCCTGTGGCCAGGCTCTTGGCTCTCTGGCTGCCAGCTGAGTGAGGCCCACACTGGCTCAGGGCTCCCTGCTCTGCTCCCTGGCCATGGGCTGAGCAGATTGCAGGCCCGGCTCTGTTTCTGGCAGCCAGCAGCTCTTTCCTGCTCCAGGTGAATGGTTCAGGGGCCATCCCGTGGGCACGGCGGTGCTGATTCTGCTGCTCCTGGTGCTGGTGCTGGCTTTGGGGGTGGCCTTGGCTGTGCTGGCAGGTAAGGGAGGGGCAGCAGCCTGGGCCCAGCCCCTCGGGGCAGAGCGGGCTCCCTGCTCCCTGCACAGGGCAATCCTCAGACCTTCTCCTCTTCCCCCTGCAGCACCACAGGTTCCAGTCACAGCTGCGACTCCGCTGTCAGTTCTGTGCTGTCCCCATGACTGGGTTGGGTACAATGGGGTCTGCTACTACTTCTCACGGGATTACGGCACCTGGGAGCAGGGTCAGGAACGGTGCTCCGAGCTCGGGGCCTCCCTGGCCATTGCCAAGGATGAGGAGGCCATGGTGAGTGAGGGGCTGTGGGCGGTGTGGGGTGGCTGAGGGCAGCCTGGGGGTGCTCCTGGGCCGGGCTCGGTGCTCGTAGGGCCGGGGCTGCAGCCCTGGGCCGGGGCCTTGCAGGGAAGGAGCCCCGGCGTGCGGGGGGAGCCCCGGGCCCGTGTCCCCCCAAGGGGCCGGGGCAGCTCCCACTCCTCTCTCCTGGGCAGGATTTGCTCTTCCGCCTCCGCGGGAACATCGATTACTGGCTCGGGCTGCGCAGACGGGGCGAGCGCCTGCACTGGGGGGACGGCAGCAGCTACAGCTCCCGGTGAGTGCCGGGGAGCCGGGCAGGGCCTGGGGGCACAGGGGTACAAGGGCTGCCCCTGGTATCTTGGTTTGCCAAGACAGATGTCTGTTAAGAAAGGCAGGAGCCTTCGCTTAAATGGAAAATGCAATTCCCCCTCCCTCTGAATTATTATAATTTTGAAATTAAAAGGCTCTCCAGCAAAGATATGAGAGTAGGAATAAGACTTCTTGACTAGGAGGACTAAAAATAAAAATGTAATCATAGGAACAAAATAACCCCTACAGGCCAGATCAAAATATTACCTGGCACCCTGTGGGTCAGGGTGTTGGCACCAGTCCCATTCAATGGTGGTTGCAGCCCTCCTGCACTTACAGGTGTGCTTGTGTTGGATCAGTGATCCTGTAGAAGGCTGGAGTTTTCCTCAGAAGGTCCAGTCATGTTGTAGATGGGCCTGGTCTTCCTAGGGGAATCCAGTGAAGACAGCTGCTCCTCTGGGAATGCAGTGGGCAAAGGCTGCTGTGGTGTTCCAAACCTCCGATTTTGTCCAGGTAGGAATGCTTGGCTCCTCCTCCTGGGCAGAGCATCTCCCCATGGGGTGATGGAATTTTATCAGCCATGCAGCGACATTCACTTGCCCATTAACAGAATATATCTCCTGGAGGGAGGATTGATTGTGGAGGAGATAAAGAAAACTGCCCAGTTAACAGAAGATAACTGCTCCTCCTCTAACAGATGGGAATAAAATACCCCTATTTCCAACCTAAGGCACCAGGCAGCCAGCACTGGCTCTGCTCCTCCCTGCAGGGTTCCCATCTTTGATAATTTCGAGTGTGCGTACCTGGCTGACAGGAGATTGAGGAGTGACAACTGCTCCAATGAGCGGCCGTATCTCTGCAGCAAGGCCCCAGCTCCCCTGTAACAGGGGCTGCAGAAAGGACCTTCTCCACACTGGGCAGTGCCAGCTTCACCTCTGAGCCCAGCACAGCGCTGTCCTTCCTCAGCTGCACCCTGTGCCTTGCACTCCCTCTCAGGGTCACCTCAGTGCCTCTTCATGCCCAGTGCCAACGCTGGGCTGGGGCTGCAAAGGAAAAGTCTCTGCAATCCATCCTGCCACCGCTGCTGCCTGCAGTGACTGCATTGCCCTCATTATCTGTGGGAAACATGGCTCACTATTTGCACTTTTTATGAAAGTTAATTAAGGGTTAAAGTCCTGCCCTGGCATGCTTGTCTGCTTGCATAGGGTTAACTTAAACTATGTTTTCTATATACTGTTACATATTAGAGCTACATGCATATTTATACAAGTTTTTAAGAATTCAAACCTAACTTTCAATTTACGTACTGGTTTGGTTTTTTTTAACTTTTGACTTGGCTTCAGGCCATGTTGTACCTTAAACTAATATATTTAATTTTTTTCTTGTGGTTCCATTGTTTTGTATTTTCACTCCCTGATAACAAGGGTCCATAAAATCTTTTTATTTCCTGGTTTCTGTTTCTGTTATCTTGTCTTTCTGATTAGAAACTCCTTGAATGTGGGAAATCACCTAATTATTTGACACCATTTTCTGAGTTAGTTACATGAGAAAATCATTCCAACATTTCACAGTCTCTATTATGCTACGGTCTAAGCTAGTGTCTATTACACCAGTATTTATAAAAGCTATAGGGTGCATAGATAAACTGACAGGTTATACTGTATCAAAAACAGTAATTACAAATTGTATTATATCAGGATTTTTGTGATCAATAATAACTTGCAAAACAAAAGTTAGTTTTGTACATAAATGCAGAAGCCAATACCTAGATTTGTTATTTATAACATTATACAACAAGCTCAAATGGGAAATCCAAATTGCCCTGGGCTTCTGGAAATCATCACAAACTGGCCTGAAGTTGACACTTCTGGACTGTCCTTGGAAGATGTGAGACAGGACCCTCACTTTTAAAATCTTAAAGGTTTTTTTAACCTTAAAAAAAATACAACAGACTGAATAAGGAAAAACTACAGCTCGGGGCAGGGGGGAGGGGGGGGGTCTCTGAGTGTCAGCCATTTGTTCATTTACAAAATGGATGCTCTGCCTTTTATACCCTCAGCCCCTCCCAAAGTTTTGTCAGTCAGCTCCTTCTCTGCCCTCCCCAGGTGGAGATCACTTCCTTACACCTTGATTGGAGCTCAGGTGTTGTCCTGTGGCCCCTCCTGGTAATGAGCCGGCCCTCCCCAAATGCCCCGAGGCTGCTGGGGCTGCTGCAAGAGGGAGAGGGGACTGTGGGGGGAGATATTACAGGGACAGCACTCTACAGCTACAGAGCTTCTCCTAATGTACACATAATATCTGTCTCTCAGTTGTGAGAGCCAACCATCACAATGTTAATGTATAAAACCCCTACTTTTCCTATGAGTCATTTGGCTTGAAGAATGCGCTGCCATTTTCAATTCTGATTATCTCTCAAAAAAATTTTAATGAGTCATTGTAGCATCTGTTGATGATGGTGAGGACAGTGGGAACAGAAGGAAAAAAAAATCTCAGGTTTTCCTTAGACAGACTTATTTGGAATGGACAAAATGGGATCACTGAGCTCTGGTGTGGCTTTTTGAGCCCATCTACTGTGCCCATGGGGTTGCTACTCATAGCAGGTGTATCTTAGTGCTGAGTGCAGAGGCCAACTCAGTCTTGCCTTCTGGTCCCTGTTGTATTACAAGACAGCTGAGCAATGGCAGAGCTCTGGGGTGCCTTTCTTGCCCCCACCTTACCATGGATATGGGATTGCTGCCCACAGCAGGGCTATGGAATCTTCTCCGTGGTGAACACAGGGGCCAACCTGGTCTTGCCCTCTATTTCTTGTTTCACTCTACTTGTTGGTCCTTGAGGAAACTGCCCATTAGGAAACCTGTTATGGTTTCCTCAACAGATGCCTGTAATTCTCATCTATTAAAACAGGACAATTACATTAATAAACAATACAGTTCAGACTCCCTGCCCAAAGTGTTGGTTAATCTTCAAGCTGACTGGAAGCTTGACTCCACTTTTCGGATGTCTTCATTCTTTGGCTCTCTCTCACCTGGTCTGCATGTTACAGTCTGTTCTTTGGGTTTTCTCACCAGCCTTTAATTCTGTTGCCTTGAGTCCCTCTCGCTCTGGGGTTGGCACAGCCCATTCAGCTCTTAGGTAGAAGGATCCTTCCAAGCCAAAAGGATTTCTGAGGCAGTCCTAACCTGCAGCACCTGGGTGCCTTCAGGCCATCCATCCAAAAGGAAAAGTGACTTCTGGACCCTGAGAGAGCCCAGTGATCTCTTGGCAGGAGAAATCAGGAGTGGAGAAGGTGATTCCAGCTCTGCTGGTTGCTGTTCCTCCCCATTAGACAGGAGAGGATCAAGCACATTCCATCAGCCTTTGCTTCCTCAGGGCATGAAACCCTGAGGAGACAAGGCCACCTCAGGGCCATCAGATCCCACCAGGGAGAAGGAAATGCTAAAAACATCACCATGGTCTCAGCCAACAAAATGAGGAACTTTTCTTGTGGGTCCCCAACACCATTTCCAACAAAGCCCAGCTGGTTTTGAAAATCGCATTCACATTCAGGGGGCAAAACCAGTAACGAATCACAGGCACCTGAGGTAAAATTAGGGACACAGAAAAGAAATTTCTCTTTGTTTTTAACAGAGGCAGATTTTCATCTCTTAAGCCCAAATCTTCTCTGACACACAAAGGGACATAAAATACAGAAACTCTTTAGTTCCAACTTGAAACATTTGCTTTTTGGCAATTCTATTTGTACATGAAGCGTGGCTGTATGAACACTACTGAAGCACACAAATACTGAGACTACTACTGCAAACTGCAGAAATTACTGAAATTCTCTTCTACTGGCAGCAAGAGTAAACATGTCTAAAGGTTTCTTTGTATGGAGAGTAGCTACAAGGAATGGTTTCAACATTAAAATCACCTGGAAAAAAATGATTTCAGGTAAAGTGTTAAAAAATGAACACTGTTATAGATATATACTATAGTATTGGCTTTTTGCAATTATTAAAATGGATTCTGTATGTGTGGTGTTAAAGTGACTTTGCTATAAAGATATAGTTTATATTTCTGTTGCTAACTAAAACTTAGAAATAGCTGATATAGATATGCATGTGTTTAAATGCCTGCTTGGTTGGGATAATATCCAAGGAATATATGATGCCAGCTATCAGCACTCATCTTCTGAAGACAGTGTGGACCCAGACCCAAGAACTGAAGGTGATGATAAAATGGACTAAAACCACAACCAAGAAATGTGCATGCTCTAAAAAGCAGGACTCAAGCAGGTGTTATGCAAAGCAGTTCTTGGGGCATGTAAACTAGTTTGGGGAAAAGTTTACATATGCACCAGGCTGGTGCTATAGAAATGCTGTATAAAGCCTATTTCCAAACTAGCAGGTGTTGGGGAAAAGTTTACATATGCACCAGGCAGATACAGTAGAAATGCTGTACAAAGGCTGGTTCCAAACCAGCAGGTGTGCTCTTGGCTGAGGGCCAAGACACATCCAGCTGTAGCCTCTGCTTTGTTGTCTTTGTCTCCTATTAAACTCCTACATTTTACCAGAAGAGGCAACAGTGTTTTTTTCAGGTTATTTCAGGTATTTTCTGAGCCATATTTTCAAGATGATTCACAGAAGCTAAACTGCCTGAGGGCAAGAGAGCATTCCAGTGAGTCATAGTTTGACATGGGAAGAATTCAGAGAAGTGATAAAAATTGTTTCTGCTTAACTCAGAGTCTGTTGAACCACTAAGAACTGAACAGGCCTTTGTGAAAGACCCTGATAAAGACCAAAGGAACCGCGATCTTCCCCTTCCCCGTCGGGCCGGCAGTGAGGCGGCGCAGCCGGGCGGGCGCTGACACGGCCCGGGCTGGGCCCCTTCCCCCCCATCCCCGCAGCCGGGCAGGGAGAGGGAGAGGGCGAGGGCGAGGGCGGTGCTGCTGCGGGCAGGACGGAGCCGGCCTTGCTCTCATCTCGCTGCTCGCTGCAGCCCCAGCCCGGCCCAGCCGAGCCCCGGGAGCAGCCCCAGGCCAGCATCGGGACTGTAGCCCAGAGAAGCGGCCCGCAGCCAGCGGGCAGGGGAAGGAGAAGCCGCCCCTGTCCCAGCCAGCGCAGCCCCGAGCGCTGCTGCTGCTGCTGCTGCTGCTGCTGCTGAGCTCTGGCCGGGCGGAGCGGATCGGAGCCGCTCCCCAGCCGCAGCTCCGCGTCTCTAACGGGGTCAGGGCAAACACCTGCAGGCTCCAGGCATCACACAAACCCTGTCCGTGCTTCTGTCCTCCCTCGAGTGAGAGAAAAGAGCAAGGTACAAACGGGTAAAAGAACAACGTGGAAACATCACGGTCAGTGAGGAGGAAGTTAAGTCCCAGATGGGAGGGATGAGGAGATGCCTTGATTTTAAAGCTGAAATCCCCTTATAAGCTATGGAGAAAAGACACTTTTTCCCTATAATGCATAAAACTATGGGGAGATGAAGGGTTCAAATTGATACCCAACAAAGGCCTCCACACTAAAGTAAGCAGATGTTAAAGGAGCTGTGATCCCATGAGACGTTTGCACAGAGAAAGAGAGAAGAGTAATCCCATACTCCCAGGAGAAAATCTCTGTTCCCAGGGATGAAAATTATTTTAGAAATAAATAATAAGAATTTTTCCTTTCATTAGCTCATCTTTAAAGCAATACCCCATAAGTCAGCATGACCAATAAACAAGCTGCAGGAAGGATGTAGAAAATGAGAGAAGCTTCACGATAAATTCCCCTTGGCAGCTGCTATTTGTGACCAAATTAGGAACCAGGAGAAAACTCTTTCCTTTTGTGGAGAAGTCCCCATAACATTAACAAGAGGGACTTCCCTCCCTAAATGAACTGAAGAAAAATTTTTTAGAGGTAGTAAACTAACTGGAAATTTCTGGTTTTGTTTCTTTACTTTGTCAGTGGAAAAGAAAAAGTTGTGGGAAGAGGAGAAGTTTTAGAAGTTTTCTAAAGGGTTTGCTTTAATTCTTGCTAATTTTTTTCTTTTAATTACTATTAATAAAATTTTCTTCATACCCTTTTAAAGTTTTAAGCCTGCTTTCACTTTCTCCTAATCTTACCTCGCAGCAGGAAATGAGTGCACTAGTGATTGATCAGCACCTAAACCACAACACAGGAAACTGTGAGACTCAGTTTTTTCAGGGAGAGGAGGGAGCAGCAAAGCTTTGCCAACTTTGTGTCCTCTCACAGAGAATAAAACAAAAGTGACTACACTGTTATGAATGAGGTCCCTATATGTCTAATTTAATAAACCACAAAATTAGAATTTAGCACCAATTTTAATCGAGCAGCAACTTTATATAAAATTATACAATTAGAAACAATCAAGCATATTCAAAAAAAAAAAAAATTGGCAGTGGTTTGGATAAAGTATAAGCAAAACCAATCAATTGGGGTATGGGGAGGGTTTTTCTCACCCTGCCTCATGTACAAAAGGCAAAAGGATCCAAACACAACTTATACACTGTATGCTAATACATATTCATCAATATTTTCCTGTAAATCCCCTCCCATTTTTGATTCCTGCAATCTCTGTCACTGCACTGCACAGTCCATGCTCCGCCTGTTGCTAAGGGGTCTTTTGGCCTTTTGGGGTCTCTTCAGAGGAAGGCTCACTGTCTTCCTCGCTGCCCTCTGAATATCCTGGCAGGTTGGGCATGTGCATTACCCTTTGTGTTATGTAAGTAAGCATTATGTTCCAACTAAGCCTTAATATTTCATAGATAGGACTACCATTGCAGATTGCATATTTGGAATCGTCCCAACTTTGCTCATCCCAAGACCGATTCTGTTTTAGGATATTGCTTATCTCAATACTCCATCCTGTATCCTATTTTCCCATGAACACCTGAAAACATCTGTTTCATGACACTATTTACATATCCTTTTCTTCTATTACTTTTCAACAAATATTTTCTAAAATATCAGTACAGTTGCAATTAGTGCAGTTAGCACGAATCACATTCATTTATCACAATTTTCCCCATTTTCTCTTTTGATCATATTGGTTCATGCTTTTTATTAAAAGACTGAATCTCAGTATCTTCTACATCCCCAAAAATCCAGGTTTTCATATTCCCTCATTTCTCTTTTTGATCAAATTCGATATGTGCTATTTTCACTTACACAACGCAGGTGATAAAAAATGGTCTAGGCAACAATTCCAATGATGAGTCCAGCTAGTATAAACCACCAGACTTCCCCAAAGTGGATCCAACTTTTAACAGGTATAATTCGCTTTTGATCAATACTTTCCATTGTTATTTATTTTTAGACAGCATTTTGATGTGTTATATTTTTCACAAACTCCTCCTTTTTCAGCCATTAGGTAGTCCAAGGCCAATCTGCTCTGCTAGACTGTTACTAGCAGGTGCATCCTTTGTTGGGCAGCTGTTTTGTTCCAACTGACCTCAATCACCTTTTGCAGTCTTATCAACTGATTCACATATTGTTTGGAGTTCTATATTCCCCAGATCTGTTTTGAGCCCAAATAGCCAGATCATAAAAGTTTATGATCCTTTCTGTGTGCCATTCATTTTCACTCCATTTATAGCTGTCCCTAATCAAAAGGTTCAGGTTTGTCTTGATATTGCCCACGGCTTTATCAAGGGGGGTTTCTCTAGTGGATTTCCCTTGGACCACGGCAGGGTGCAGGAGGAGGGTGGGATAACTCCTAACCTACAGGTCCCTTTCCATCTCTGGGGTAACTGACTCCACAAATCCAATACAGCCCATCAGGGGCCTTCCATGTTCACTTATCTTGTCTGGTTGATTCCAACAGGGATCTATATTTTCTATGGAATGGTAAGGGCTAGCTCCAGAACTATTGTACCAGCACAGATTAATTTGACTGTCCCACTTGCAATCCTTTCTCTTTGTTGTTCTCCAATACCGATTGGTTTTGTTTGGCCACCAGGTCACAGTTCTATTACCTGAATTTACAATTAAGGTAGATTTACAGGGGGTATGTCCCACCTCTTTGGTTCTTGGTATAGTTCTTTCCTTCTCAAGTTACACAAACTGCTCCACTTACCTGGTGACTTAAAGTCCACCTTCCAGGCTGTTTTATTTTCTCAGAAATTTGGGTGTAATTCCCTTTTTAAAAGTGTTCTGGAGCTAGACCTTCGCCTCTCCATGGCCATCTTTCAGCCATCTGAGTTCCCCCACAAATCCAAGATCTTGATAAACCAAACTTGGTTGTGAGTTTTTGCATTAAGTCTACAAAAAGATTTCTACCTGAGGTTAGCAAATCCCAGCTGCTATTTTGCTGCCTTCATTGGTTATACAACAACCTTGGATTTTCCCCTTTATTCTTACCTTGCTGGTTTTGTTCTGAATTTCCCCACTCTTCTCTTTTAGGGAAACAAAGGAATTCTCCCTCTGTGGGGCAGTCTGGGCTAGAAGGTGTCCATTGGCCCAGTCCTAGATTAATCCCCAGTCCTAGATTAATAAAACAGGCTCGGCCATTTCTGTGGCAAGTTTGTAAATTTGTCTGGTTGTAACATTCAGCATCAACAGAGTGATGTACTGTGAGAACAGTCACTGAATTGTGGCCATCCCATATGAGCTGGCAGCATTTATTGTTTTATTGCAGGGGTTGCTAGATGCACAGGGTATCAGGATACATGTCAGGAGCCCCAGGTACCTCAGGAGTCTGGACTCTCTACCTCTCTCAAGGCCCCTTGGGCTGCAGCCAAGGGCTGAGATTGTCTTCTCAGTAGCAGAGTTTGTGTCCTGGAACCAAGGATGCCATTTCTGTGTGCACCCCTTGGATACAGTGATTATAGCACAGGATGCCATTTCTGTGTAGCCCACCTGAGTGCAAGGATGATGGCACAGGATCTTTACAGTCTGGAGGCACAGCCCTATCGCTTTCCCTGGGTTTATTGACAGTTCTTTTTTTATTAAATAAAAGGAGCTTTGGAGACGTGCCAACCACAGATAACGTTTTAACACTCTTCTCTATAAAACAAATATTAAAACAATTTAGTTAAGCCATAAAAAAAATAAAATTGCTATAAGATCTAATTTACTGGTTGCTATTTACTCTGACGTTGGAGATAAATCATCTTTGCCACCGGTAATGCCACCTGCAATGCCCATCTACCTGTAGTGTAAACAAATCTGTGTTTACACAATAAATTTCCTCCCCCCAAGAGCTGTCGGTGATAACACAACCATCTATCACAGAATGGTGCACTTGCTCTCTTGCCTGTTCATAGGCTATTACAGCTAAAACTCGTTGGTCTCTGTTTTCTATTAATTGAACAGCTGCATGAAAGGTTCTATCCCTAATACTTAAAGGTGTTCCTATAAAATCACTGATAAGGCATGCTATTGTAAGCTGGTCACATAAGTGATTTAAGCAGGTTAAACAAAGCAGTTGATTTTCCCCTTGTCTATTTTGGTTACTTTCCACCACGAGTTAAACTGTACAGACAATACAAGCCCATGGGGGACAGCCTGGGCCATGCCCAGCACACATCCAGTGGTCTGTTTCTTTCTGGACCTCTGTTGATGGCATTAGTCCCTGATCCCAG